TTGCTCAACGGAGGTAGACTCAAACTATCGGAAGGAAGAAATTGTTGTTGAGAAGGAAAGGAACATTGTTCTAGATATTAGACTACTGCTTGACGCGCCGAAATGGCCAAACGGAGCACGTGGTCCAGCATCAGATTTACTATCAGTGGTCAACACAATCCTCCGATGCTCACCTCTGGATCAGTCCATTGATCAGACCTCCCTATAAATTCGCAGCGCCTGATTTCATAGCAAATACGGCACCTAAGTTTGCTTTTATAAAAGTACTACGTTTCCTTGGCGTATTTATTGCTAGCTATATGCTAGCGCTAATTAGCGTATACTATATTACATGTACATAAAATAAAGAAAGAGAGTCAAGTTTGCTCATCTCTGGATCAGAGCTGGTCTTTAACGTTACTAAGTATGTTACGTCTGTAAAATCAAGCTAGCCTGGTGATTTGCGCTTTATAACAACGTAATGAATAGTAAATGCAGCGTATTCACACGCTCAGGTGATCCATGAAAATGAGTTATACTGACCCAAAACTATATTTACTGTCAATTTTCAGCATTCATAGATTATATACTATTATTTATTTCAGAGTTAACGAAGGGCTTAAAGCTTTATGAACAATAGACTACAACACCACCTTCCGCTAATTTCGCCCCAAACATGCAGACGGTTCCGTCCATTTTTTAAATTAAAAAAAAATAACATTTAAAGAACTTACTTCGAAAATAGCCAAGCACAAAACTATCGAATCTGATTGTGGGAAAAATACGGACCGCTAACTCGAGCCTGCAAAAAGTGTTTAGAGCACCCGTAGTATCATTCGTAGGCTTGCTAGTGCGAAGCGTTTTACGTTACAATATTAACAGCTGTCAGGCCCCTTGTTGTTTCAAGTGCACAACGGCGTTTATCCATTGGATTTTTCGAGGACGAGCGACGATTTCTTGCTCAAGACGGATGTCTGTACCAAGCAGAGCAGCCAAATCAGCTAGCTGCTGACGCCGTCGCCGCAACGCTTATACGAGTGCCATTAAGATAATACTGATACATACCCTCATATTAAGTAAGAAAATGATTAAGTTGCCAAGGGAAAAGGCTAGCAAGTTAGCAAAGGCGCCATGGATCCGCTCAATTAGTTTGATATCTAGATCTTTCTAGCGGAAAATTCAAAGTGTAAATGACGATTCATTGTGAAACCTCAAACCCAGCGTGGGCAGGCCCCACTATTTTACTTCCGTATTTCAGCCTTTCCAACCCACCAGTAACGGTCCTCGATTTCGATCTCTTCACAAGCAACAAACTTTCGAAATCTTTTAGGAGCCTTTCGGCCGCATCGCTGAATTCGTTGCTTTAACGATTTATACGAGTTTTCCCATACTGAATTTCGTTCTTTTCAAGCTAAATCTAATGAATATCTGTTACTGCGTCATTTTGGCCTCGGGCAACCCAACAAGGTCAATGTGATAGCCTCAGGAACCGAGAGAGGTAACAAAAAATCAATCTCCCTCCCGTACTAGTAATTAGCTGACAGCGCACAACATTTGTGGTACTTTTTGGTGGAAATCGACGGCAGCCGATTATGATAGCACATCATACATATCTACGAAGCTATTTTTATTTAACTAATTAGATAATCACAGATAGATTACAATAGAATTGAAGAAATATGAGTGCTATCGTAAAACTAGATGACTTTGTATTTGAGGTTCTTGAGCTTTCTCTACAAGTTTGACGAGATTCCCGGAATCTCATGCCAATCGGTTACACGCATGACAACAACGAAGTTGGATATTTAAAGACTGTATTAATTTACCCCTGTAAGCTGGGATTACTTGGCGACCTCATGATACCTCAGAAACTTTTTTCTTACAAGTCGCTTTTACAGAGCTGATTAGTTTCCCTCACGCAACTAGAGGGCGCAGGAGATAGAGCCTAAAACGCAGCCTGTTGTAGTGGAGGAATAGGTTTCAAGTACGGGAAGAATATCGTATGGGTTGGCCCTAGTATTCTCATACTATACTGGCGCAGTTTCACTTATGACATTATGTAGGCTAGACGTGCTTTGCGAAGAAGTACGCCATTGTACAACACTGTGCTAGCAACAATCAATAACACGATCTAGCTCTTGTCTATGGCCGCAGTAACTGGCGTTACTCGTAAACACAATCGCTTTGGCTCGAAAGCCTTAATCGATGAAGCTGCGAATGTGTTTAAATGAGTAATTACTCCTATTTACCTTACTGGTAGTCTGGGAAAGGAAACGCCTCATTCGACATAAGGTTTAAAAACGAAACGTGCTATAAGTGCATCAACTGTCAACGACAATAACGTGTCGCACTCGAACTTTATACTCTAGCAGAGCTTATATCCGGCGCCTATGTTTCGGGCAAATTTTTCAAGGGTATTTCGAACCAATCAGTTATATATCTATGCGAGCTGACTCTGATATTCTGAGCTATGTTTACGTGTACAAGTTCAAAGGTGGCACAGTGGCGCCTGTAGATTTCTTAAGCTCGAAAATTTATATAATTCATATAGTGTTCTTACAGCTCGGCTTGCGACAGTCTATAACATACGAAATATTATTATATACCTATGCAACTTCACTTGAACTTCTAGATGATCTTATTTAATCGGTTTTGCACACCATTAAACCTGTGCAAGGTATTAGATCGTCTAAACGGTTATTGTGCTTGCCGTGTCCGTGTATGCCATAACAACCTGTTACGCGAAAAGCTTACCGACGGAAAGTATACATTTTTCCCGTATTTTTACGTATATTAGTTTTTTTTTTTTCAAATAGTCTTGCTTCGTGGCAATATATGTGAGTAGAACGAAACTCGAGCAGATGGCTATATTCTAGTTGGGCGGGCGTTTGGGAATTATACAAAGCCACTTCAAAAGTGCACTAAAACATTTAAGTTAAAGAGTTGAGGTAAACTAGGGACTCTTAAATTATGACCATTAGGACAGCTCGCAATTTCAGAATTCAAATTTCGACACGTTTTATATGGCCACTAATCGTGTGCGTCCAATTTGTTCTAATAGTTCTTCTTTAATTAAATTAACACTACTAATATAGTACACTGCGAACGCCATCGAGGATAATAGTGACGATTCCGTTGCACGTACACGTGCTTGCATACACGCGTCCTTAGCGCACCCACTTGTGGCTCTTTAACAACTAACGTTCATCAATGTTCGGAAGCCTCGTGCATAATGTGCTACTTTTGCTTGTATATAAGGTTAAATAACTTCATAATAATAATAATAAGGATATAACTATACTTATTGCACTGGCAGACCTCTGTACTATAGGCATTCTTTCATAGTGCGTAGTGTTAAAACTATCCGCAATGCTATTGTCCATGCTATTGATAGGCATGATCATGAAAATGACAAGATTTTAACCTGCGTTCCAAGATTTCTTGGCCGAAGTGCCCACTAACCTGTCTATAAGCGCCTCTTATTGGCATTAGGGCAGGATAAAGGCAAAAAATATTACCTCAAGACAATGAAGTTGACACATTGGTTTTAGTGGTCCTATGTGCATAGGTCGGCCCACCTGAATTTAGAAATTTTCGGACTTCAGGCTGTATTAAAATAAAACTAGGTGTTTTAATGAATTTTTTCTGCGCATGCTAAAAGCGTCTTTCTTGACGCTTAGGTTCATTTTATCACGCCAGCGACGCACCAAATAAGTGTGCCGCCATTGAACCTAATAATCCGACGGGTTCAAATTTGGACTGTTCGGCGGCCACATGCACCTTACTTTAACTGTATCGTTCCTACGATGGTTATTTACATCGAGGATGAATATCTTGTCCTCTGAGAAGGGTCCAAAATGATATGCGGCCTTATCTTTTAAAGAGTAAACGTCACCGATTGAATTCCTTGGTATTATTGGCTTCAAACATGGCTTGCGTTGAATCCACTTTCGCTTCCTTGCAGCCGCATACGCATACGACGGCCGATTTAAGGCCGCGCAAAAAGCTGAATATACTATTGAAGCTTCGTTCCACGCGAACAGATTGAGTAATAGCTGTTCTTCGTTCAAAAACTGATGTGGAAACATTGTTACAGTGACGAGTGCAGGTTTATTGACATCCTGCTTGAAAAAGTTACATGTGGCCATCTTCACTGCATTCAGGCTGTCACGAGTGATTCAGTAAAAGTAGGACTGAAGGCACGCTCGCCTCTAGCATGTAGTTCTACACCTAGGTTCTCGTCTGATTCTTCATAGATCTGTACGCACATCTTTCAGCAAGATTTCCGATCTAAGCTAAATTTAAGTTGCAAGACCATACCATCCGACCGATGTTCCTCTTCCGGAAAACAGTATTTCCGCTATTTTTTCGAAATTCACGGCTTATTTAGTAGTTGCAGGCCTCCTCTAACATATTGGCCTGCTAATCTTAGGGATACGTTGTGGTCTATGTGGGAACCCATAGGGCGTAAACAGACAAACACACTTCGTTTCGACTTGGAGCTAACCAATCGTCTGATGGAATGTTTAACGGGGATAACGGACGTAAAACTTTAAAATGAATAATGCCCCTACTATTTGTGCTCTGCAGATCATAAATATGAAACACAACAGGCCATGTAGACATATGTCTTCTTAAATAAATGGCAAATTCCTTTTGGAACGATAGCTGTAAGGCAAATAAATAACCATAAGAGCATAATCAAGCACAATAACTTATTCACTTCAACTAGCAGAGTTCCGCGACCGCTATCCGTGCAAATACTCCTGTTATTTTCGCTGTTTCGTGGTACAGACACAAATGAATGGACACTCGTTCGATTCGCTCGTCCTGTCAGAGTGGTAACTGGCCCTTTCTAGAAGCATATCAGACGACGAGCAACCTTTCTGAGTCATCGTTATCATAAATATCTGTGATAATATAGAATTTACCTGAATGTCGTTATTTTTTGCTTATCCTCATTGTCAAACTCCAGCATGCAAGTATGTCTTCGACATTTGTAAATAATGAAGCCGCCAAACATGACAGGGAATTCGAACCAAGGGACAGACTTGTGAGCTTAAGGCTAAACGTGGGCTAAAAATGCACAAAATATGGCGTATATAGTAGATGCGAAAAAGGTAGGAAACAAGCGAAAGATTGCTCAAGGCCATATGTTGTTTAGCATTGTTTTTCTACGCTGACGGTAGAAGAGGAACATGAAAAGGGAAGTGAAACAACGAGCGAATATTGGGGGAAGGGGGGATGGGGCAGAGGATGTTGATGTCGGGCACTCGTCGCGACTGTTGAAGCACTCAGTTGCTCCGACCCTTTCGATGCGTGCCATTTGTTTTTCGTTTTCTTATGTTTTATCGTTTTGCACCAGGGCTTCGTAAGGGGCACGTTTTCCAGCTTTTAAGACGCCCACATTTTTTTCCACGTTCGTTTAGACCCTTGTTCTTGCTGCTGTGCACATCTCCCTTTGCTTTTAAGGTCTTAACCCTTTGGACCCTTATCTGACTACCTACGTATATACATTTACAGGAACGAAACAGTTGTCATTGGTTGCTATTCTATAACATTCAATATTTATGTTACCAATTCCGCCATCTTCGTTAGGGACACGTTGATTGCGAATACTGCCATTCAGCACTTTCTCAAGTTCTCAATTCGCGATGAATTATGTTCGCAGTTGCTTCATCCTTAATGCATAAGTAACTAAATGAAGACTTTACGCAAGAAGCCGTGGTAGAGTAGCGCGTGGTGACTACACAAAATATGCGTAACTATTAAAAATTACATTTCTAGCCTATGTAAAAAGTTTTATTCAAATATAGTTTCGCATAAGCAGAAATCCTAACTTGTCTCGGCCATCCTGTATTTTGTATAGTAGTTACTAGTTTTGCTTTTGATTTACTAAAATCTATACTCAAAAATAAATAGGTTACCAACAATATAATACTTGGCTTCATGATTCTACGGAAGGAGCAAGCCTGGCTTCTGATTGGATGACAGTCTAATATGGTTTAAAGTAAGTTACCTTAAGCGGTCGATACCTTAGCCATTCTGCGCCAAATGACAAATGGCTAGTTATATAATTTTTTACTGTTAGAACTACACCCGATTTGGCAACAATGTATCACTTTGCCATTATGCTAACTCTTTAGTTAAACTAGACTAGTTTTAAAAAAAGGTTCAGATAAAGTTGTCTTCTTTACCCAAATAACTTCACTTTCAGAAATCGAATGAATTGAGGATAATAATAAGTACTTGAGTAATGAAGACATTCAACGCAGTGTGAGACATTAAGCAAAATATATACAGTATGATCATACGTGTTACCTTCAACAATCAAAGGAGCGAAAAAAAGTTATTATTGGTTGCTTTGTCGCCTCTCAACTCTCACTCGTTGTTTCAATCTATAGAATTTGTTGTTAAGTCTTGCAGCGGAGATATTATTCATCGCGACGATTCTACTGCTTTTGGTGACCCAATAGAGATTTGATTTCCAGCTACCTTTTCATACTAATTCTAATTTAAAAATCGAGGCTTCTCAAAGTCAAGGACCTGGACCGGCGTTACCAATCAACAGCTCGATATAAACTTCACTAATGCTTGGGCGCACACAAGATTTTTAAGCAGCTACGATTATTATTCTTTACGAGTCAAATATTTGTTTCTAATTTTTTTGGTAATTTTAGGATCCTAAATCAAGTGTAGACTCTGTTATCGCTTTTTTTTAAATTTTAGCGCGCTTATATAGACGCAGTGCAGGCGCCATCACAATACTATGCCACTTAACCATTACATGTGGCCCTTTGCAGAGTTCGGGCAGGGTCTTCTGGTCCATGATGCGAAGAACGTTCAGTCTTATCTGCTTTGGCTTCGTCTCACAGCTCTGTATCGTCGAGGATATCAGCTAGCAACTGTAGCGAAGGTAAGACAATGCCGATACCCGTATGTGAGTGCTACCCGCTGTCCAATTTTCCTAAGCACGGTTTTTCCATGCAAGCCCTTTCAGGCTCGCCAGAACCGGACTCGCTTACAAAAAACATGTAATCTTTACGATTCCTAAAGCTATGCAAGAAGATAGGCAAAGGGCGTAGGTTGCTCAAACCGTGCAAGGTTTATCTTCTTCACACCACTATGGCTCTGAATTCGGCTTCCAAGACCAGGACTAAGAGACGCCAGACGACCGTCTCAACGCTCCGTCCCTTAGACGTTGTGGTCCCCCCTTGAATGACGGAAGCACGATTGTTTGGCTCACGGTAGTCGACCGCCGACCTTTACCACCCACTCTTACTGGTCTGATTTGCCTCATCTGATTCACGCCGTACAGTCCCTCTCAGTTGTTGCTGTCTTTTATCATTTGCCCATTAAAGATAGCAAGCTTGCCATGTACAAGCTTCAAAAACAACCGCGAAGCAAATCGACTAGAAAATAGCTAATGGATCATAAGCGGTGAGCAGCACGCAGTCGTAGCGGAGGAGGCCATTGCACCGTCTCTACCGATCCAAGTATTCCACCCCGTATTTTGGATGGGTGACGGCCCGCGTGGTACCGTTCCACCAATTATTGTATTTATATAAGATTTGTGTTCTGACTTTTGCCTGTATATCAAGCAAAGAAACGCAACGAAGTCCGTGGTGCTCGTTCCTGGTCTTAGACGAGCTTGATTTAGCAACAGAGAATCTTTGTGTCATACATGAAACTGTAGATATAAGGCCCTATGGAAAGGACGATAGAAAAAAGTGTATGCACTAGGAAAGGAACCTGTACCTATTGCTGAATAGAACAAGAACTTTTGAAATCATTTGAAATTTTTAGCCTGTCATACAGGTGATTATCCACAACCAAAAATAAGTGGTATAGCTAGGTGCGGGGTGGACTTTAGTGGGTGGTTCCTATAGGATACAGTGTTTATGGAAAATGTAAATCGAAAGTAATTCTATTAAGCGCATGATTGGAGCCGAAACGGGTGCGGCAGTTACATGCGGTGCTCAAAGCACTTTCAATCGTTATATGAACTCGTTTTATAATATATACGATACCATATCCTTACCTACAGCATACATATGGTTTATGTGGTGCGGACGCTGTATTTACGAGGGTCTGACTATGTGCAGTTAAAATGTGTCTTGTAGCTTGTGACGTATTTCAATACACTATTGCATTGTATTACACTAGTGGACATTCGGCCATGTAAATAAGTTCTAATAATTGTTTCAACGGTTTCAACACGAACGATGTGTCCCGAATGAATCCGTTCTTCTATATTCTAGGCAGCTTTGATATCCCTATGTTCTATGTCAAGGAATTAAATTAGAACACTTTACTCGTCGGCCACGCAATGCTCGCAGTGGCCAGAGTTTCCGCTTTTCTTCCCAAGTCCATAAACAGAATCTATTGTAGCACGCTTACTTTATTCTCCAGGCCAGCAGACATGCAGAAACGAAATTTACAAAGGGTTTAATTTTCTGTTTGAAGACATCATTCAGTTACACGAGGATCCTGTAGCTTCCCTTCGATCGATTTCTAGCCAAGATTCACTAGCACATCTATATGCACTTGGTATAACAAAACTTGAGATACTTTTTCATTCTGTGCACATTTAATAAAACTAGAGACAATTCCAGACGTCGACTTGAAAAAGTATCTATCCAATAGAGTGTTTATATAAATGGCTACTAGCTCAAGGACAATAAATCTGTTAGACGCTATTTAACAAGGTCTCATCGAGTACAACCAGGTCGGCACAGGCAAATATTGTCCTATGCTTCATATCATGTCTCCCAACACTCAATTTCAAGTTCACTTGAACTTGAATATAATTTTATATAATAATAGGTATATAAGTCTATCAAACCCAAGTTGTTTTCTATTCTGCGTCAAAACGAGCAAGTCGACGTTTCAGTCTTTATTTTTTATTACGAATATAATCGCCTTCTATGCAAGCATCGTCCTACCCAATAACAGGAAAAGATAAGATGTAGGGCCTCCAAATACTTGTAAAAGTGTTCATGAATTCATGGGTAATTGATTATATTGACTTTATTATTCAATACAATGGAGTTAGTATGTGGTCTGTTTGCTACAAAATTGAACCCGTCAAAGAGGCGCTACGCTATTAACTAGAATAGCTCCAGAGCAGGTGACGTTTACGGAGTAACAATTACACACACATTCATGATGTTTTCAATCAGCTTTGAAAACAATAAAGTTTAATGAAATAGTACGAAACACAAATAATCGACGAGCTTAACGCGTATGAGCTGGTTATATTGGCTTTGTTCTAAGATTACTGTTTTCGAGATTTCAGTGAACGAGCGTGTAAAACGGATCTTATTCATTAAACCTCCTAATTCTAAGCAAAAATACTCTGATGCTTTTTTTTTTCCCGAAAATTATATTTACTAAGTTGGAGACGTTTTTGGCCAGCGTTTAGCGAAAATTTTCGCCAAATGTATCCACTGCAGAACGTTCAGTATCGTCGTATTCTACGGCCTCCTCCGTGCTCACATACGCTATGCTTTTCTCGGTGAAAATAGCCTAATCACACACTGTTCTTATTAGTAAATTATCAGTCTGCACGTCATTGATCTATTTAATTATTTCATAAAGTTAAATATTAAAAAAGAGCGCCTCGGATAAGGTAAACATTTTAACATGCATTGATATTCGCTTATGATCAAGTGTGGCAAGAGGTAACGAGTTCAATTGGAACAAATGTTTTATACTGATTATACGTAAATATAACCATAGCTCAAAATTATAAAGAAATATTAGGGAAAAAAAAGTAGAGAATGTTAAAATATCAAGTTTTCAGGGAGAAAACGATAGATATAGCTAGAACAAGCATAATCACAAAAAAAAAAAAAAAATTACAAGCTTGTCAGCAATTTATATTACTATACCAAGAGATATATATATATTTATATACTTTTCCGAGAGTCCTCGCTATTTTCGATTTTACTGTGTATAGCCCCTCACTATACTCGATCTTCTTCAATTTTTTTAACTAGATTAATTATTTTTTCTCGCTAGAAGAAGACGGCAATCTGATCTAGCTAGTTTTTGACAGTCACTTTACTATCTAACGTATGCTTACGAATTTCATTTCCCTGTCAAGATACCTGACAAGGGCCTAGTTTTCGCAGTTTTCCTCTTTGCTCAATTAGCAAATTGTTTGCCATCTGAGGTTCTCATTGAATTTGGATAGATGCCTGGAGTGAAGTATGTTCTTTAGGTTTAAACTTCCATCTTTGGTCTAAATAAACCCTTTCTGCTAGTTTTACAGAGCTCTTGTTGTTATATCCGTTGTTCTGTCGGTGAAAGACGAAATAGGTGTTGAAAATGGATCTGGAACCTTCATCTTTGGGGCTTAATGCAAAGTTCTGTTCATTGCACAACAAAATTACAACGGACCTACAGAAGGAGAAGATAGCATTAATCTATAAGTTGTGTCACAATGGCGGAAGTTAAGACCATTTGATGCTTGTTTCGTTTGACACTTGTGTTACTCTGTAATGTCCAATACTTATGTATTTATATGAAAGTTCAAAAAGACGTTTCCTTCACTTACGGAGTGACAAAGTTCATGTCAGTAACTTATTTAGAATAAAACTAACATTGGCAGATTCTAAAGAAACTTTCCTCGTTAGGGCTCAGGCTCAGTACATAAAGAAAGCGCCTACCGGTATATATGACCTCACGTTAAATAGCAACAGAAGTGACAAGATTCTGGTATCATTTAGTGAAAGAAAAAAGCAAAACAACAGGACAATGTACGTCAACGTTGCATAAGCAATTTTATTACGTTATTTTAGGGTTGTATATTTACATTTGAACAAGATTGTAAGGTAAATCTGGTAGGTACAGCACTACTAATTATCTGAAATGAAAAAAAAGTATTGAGACGCTAACTTGTAAGAGTAACAAGTATGAGATTTAGCTCACCATAAATTATTACACCTTAAGAGATCACGTGCTGTATGGGTAAATCAATCAACAATTAACATATCGTCAGTTTATCTGACCTCGTTATGCTTCCGATGTCCTAAAACAGGCCTGCGTTGAACGATCAACTTTGACGGCGGACAGCGAACAACCAGCTTCTCGATTCAAGGAGCCCTGCTTCTTCTCCATTGCTTATTGCCTAGTTATGCTCCCTGGCATTAGTAAGGCGACAGGAGTCGTTTCTCTGGCAGGGCACCAACGTCTCCACGAAACGAGTCAAATAGAACCGCTGTGTGGCTGTATAGTTATTGCGACGATGGGCCGAACGAAGGTGCAGAAACCAAAAAACTCGAAGGAAAATTGCTAATTTCAGGGAAAAGGCTGCAGATGAATACATTTAAAAGTAAATATTTAGCATGTATAATCTAACAAGATCTAACCTTTTTTGGCGCAAGCTGTAGTCCCTTTGTTTAGCATCATTTGCCTTTGAACCAGCGGGTAACAGGTTTCTGGTGATATTTGCGAGTGCTGAAAAGCTAAAGGGTTGGTACGAGATGCAAGACAATTACATAGGAAAGGCGGAACAGTTGACAGCTGTCGAAAGCTGAAGTATCCGGCTCACACGTTTCTGCCAGCGAAGGAATGCTGAGATCACATGACGCACCTCCTCCACGGGCAGAACCATAGAGCGTGGACTGGATGTCTACTAGTCAGGCGGTTTCCCCTCTTCCCTCACTGTCAGCAGGACGATAGCCTGGTGGGTAACATATTTGCCTCCTAATCTTAGGGACTCGTTGTAACCTAGGTTCGGATTCGGGCATAGATACACTTTGTTTTGTGCCGACAGTCGGCTGTTTGATGGGATGCCTAACAGCGATGCCGGACAAAACGACGACCCAGCAACTAATCCCCAATTCATATCGCTATGATGCACAATAACACTGTAACGAGTATGGACTGGGTCGGCTACTGCAAAAGCCCAATAGATACTACTAGGCGCATTCTGAAGCAGCTAGGATATAATGTATTACGTTGATCGCTTGCTTATGTGGCTGTGTGTTTTCAGCCTAACTAACCGAGGTCTAGGGTCAATTTTTATTTGGACATGGGGTTTGGTGAAAATAAGCTAAGAGCTTTGTAGAAAGTAACCTTTCGTCTGGGAGAAAGATTAGTTTGCATTTAAAACAAAGCTGGAAGATAACTAGGTTAATCAATACTCATATATTCAGACCGAGGGTATTTGACTGTTTTCGTTATTTGGAATCTTCAACGCGGTGGTCTAAACAGGTAGGCTTCTGGCTACCAGAGTAACGGTCATTGAACTAAGCCACCACCGTTATATTGATTACAGATCAACCGTGTGAAGAAAGCCTTTTTTTTTTTTTTACCAACCTGTCGACATTTTCATATGATGAAAAACGGTTTTTATGTTAATGTACAGTAATTAGAGTTGGCATACTAATTATCAGCATGAAATATTTAGCCTAATACAGATACTGAAATGTGTGGGTTAATGTATCAAAGCGTTAGTCATGCTTTTCCTCATGTTACATCCTCCAGTGTCGAAGCCTATAGCTTCAGAGGATAGATAATAAAATAGGAAGTATATTTTCGAGATAGATGAACCTACAGGCGAGCAACGACAGGCGGAATGATAGCGGAAAGTTCTAAATCACGTGGACATTATTGACAATTCATGATCCGTTATGAATGGTCCACAGTGACTGACCCATTGCAACCACTGTATTTTTTCTCCCTGCTTTACTTTGTTAATTGTTTGTACCTTCAAATAATACATATATTCAATGAACGCTATGTAAGCGGAAAGGCGTTCGCGCTAGGATTGCAGAATATGTGACAGATACTAAATAATTGCAATGAGCTTGTTTCTTGTGTGCCGCGTGTATTATTAAGTAGCCTGTTAAACTTCCTTTACATGAAGTTCCAACTTGTCTCTCTAAGAAATACGTAGTTTAGCCTTTGGGATGGTGCGCACACTCGAATAATATAAGGACCCAGGTGGTCCTTAAGGGAGCATTACATTAAGCAATATACGTCAGGAAAGGTACGGAATATGCATGTTCAAAGTAAATGAAGTAAACATAACCCTATACCCTATCATACAAAATTAAACTACCCGGGCTAGTGGCGAGGCGTACAGTATAGTTATCCAATTGTTATAATTTGAGTTGGCGGACCCGTTTAACTAACGGGAGCATTGTGATACTTTCAAGTTAAAATATCTACTTCTTGCACCAGTCTTAATAGGCAAATAGAAAGGCAAGATCGTGGCCTTTTTTTGAACGTCTCACTTCGATGCACTAGAAGGGTATGTGTAGCCCATCGCACGCATTTCCTGAAAAGATCTCAGCCATCAATGACGACTATGATGAAGCCAAGCGTGAACTGAAGTTATGCGAGGGCATTGCATTGCCAAGCAACTCTATGCAAATTTCCACAGTACGTTAGGTTTATTTTGAAGGACTACGTTTTAGCAGCATATTAAAGAAAAGTGCCTTTTGTCTATTTATATTTATCGTCACATGTTATACATATAGGTAACAGTTTTAGACCAAACTTAGCATCCTATATATAATGCATTACTGCAAAATGTAAAAAATACTAGGTATTTCTGAAATCGCCCAGCTTACTGGCTTCTAGCCAAAGAGGGCTGTCGAACTATTGCACTTTTCGAAAGACAAAAAAAAAAATGACCAAGGCCAATCAGGTGGCAATTATATATTTTTTCTGTTTCGTTCGTCCTTTTTTTTACAGGAGCGAAGAGATGTGATACTCGTCTTTACGCCTACGACACAACAGAGCGAACACTTGCAATTGTATCGTTGAGGATACTATAAGAATCCGTAAGAGGAAAAAAAAGCTGACGATGTGATGTATTTGCCGACCAGGAGAGGCGAAAACGTTAGACCATAAATTGAATGAAGGAAGAAAGTGATTTCATACTGGAGGTGCATCCGAATAGTTCTTGCATTGAAGTTCCGTCCGTGTTCTACGTGTGTACCCGTGCGATTGGACATTGCCCTCATTCATTTTACGTAAATAAGATGGTCCGCCTGTAATTCTATACACTGGTATAATACAATTGTATAATCTCCTGGCAGCATCTAGGTATTAATACTCTTTCTAAAGTAAACGATCTCACGTTGAGACAGCTAGATTTAATTTCCGTTCTCCGTACTATTTATAGCGGTAAGTCTGATTAGGACAACGTACTCCTAGCCTTGGGACGAAAGCTAGAGGGGACCTCGTTTCAGATCAAGTCATCGAAGATCATATGGCGGAGACGGCTAAGATGACAGATTCTAATGTGAAACGAAACAAGCGCACCTTCTCTATCCCACCTAGATCCATATCAAACTGCCTCTGAGGAAATCAATTTACGAAATGTTATCTTTCCGCAGTATGCTCCCTTCTTTAGTTCCTCTATAATAATCAGGATACAGAAAGGGTGTTTTCTAAATATTGGGTGCGGTCGCAGGATGGAAAAATTCGTTCGAATTTCATTGTTCAACTTTAGATCACGAACATTTAGTTCAGCCGAACTAAGATATGCTCGTAACTATAGTCAGCAGACGACATTTTAAATAGATAGGTTGTACGTTATCTTTCACTCTTTTTTACGTTGTTCAGAAAAACGTGTGCATCATTAGTAGCTCACAGCCAAAACATCGATTTTTGCCAGGCATCATAAACATAGCAACACATGTCGCGAGCTATCGTTAAAGCTTCTCTTATTTTAACCGAATCTCGCGTTTAAATGACTGACTAACATGGCCTAGTATGTTCTAAACTGCAGTGCTAAATACGTTAACACCAATCGTTGAAGAGTCCATCTGGAAGACGACAGCTCACTCAAATTTTCCTAAATATGCTTCGATCCCTCTTTTTAGCTATAACATTGTTCAGATGTAGCAATAAGCAAATAATGGGGATCAAAGCGTCCTTGTTGTTTGCAGGAACGAATAACTGGTTAGCCACGTATTACTATCATGGAACCAGACTGTACGTTTTCGATTGCCCGATGACGCTTCATGAGTCCCTCGAAGAACCCGAGCTAGCGGGCTGAATTTATTGTTCCGTGTCTGGACAGCATCTCATAGCAGTAGATGTTCCATACGCCTGCTGAAAGTACTGCCTTAGCCCGAACCTACTTGACACTATCATCAAACTCGATTTCTATCCATGGCGACGTCATTTTTTTGTCGGGTCTTTTTTTGGCTGGCAGTCGAAGTTGAATTACACCTTGTTTACGGCGACCATATGCTCTAGGTGAATTCTTGTTAGTTACAGTTTCACAAGTTAAACGTGGAATGCACTGCATATTTTCCACTGACCTGCAGCCTATTTATAGGAGACCCATTTTTACTGAGTTTTCCCATATTCAGCACTTGAATTATGATTCTGTAACGCGTTACAGGAGAAATTCCAGCCGATGAAACCTTTAAACTCCAAGTTTGGCTTTTGTAAAAAGCCTTTTCGATTGCGGCAATGCACTCTTATCTATGCATCAGGTCCCGACACATAGTTGCCTCCTCACTAATTTTGAATGCTTCAATCCCCTTTCTTTCCAACGCACCGTGCTTCCGCTCAAGACTTCCTTGCCTAATACCTTCGCCAGTTGATGAATTTCCCTAGCGTCGTATTTTTACTTTTTTGTGTTACAAACGTCAACGCCAATCGCGTGTCCTGATATTAGAAAGCCATTTGGTGAAGTCCATGAATATGATCTAGGACACTTTGCGCATCTTTTTTGGCAGTTTTTTCCCTTTCCGTTGGCTGCAGAGCGTTCGAGACGAACTCAATTTTACGGTTTTGCTTGTATCTTATCTACTCGCTGTTGACGAAGGCCGGACAACGATAATAGCCTAAAAGATGGGCGTTAAAGAAAGCAAGATTATTACTGTTCTTATTCAATGCCATCAGCTAATGCGACGAATGAATATATTCTGACTTGGACCAGAAAGTGGAGTCTAGCTGATGCTGAAGGCCCGAAACAGATATGACAAGAGAGCAAAAGACATCTGCACAAACAACCCAGTTAACGCCGGCTGAATTCAACTTTCGCAAATGCGCTTCTAGTCTTGAAAGTAATGGGTGGAAAAAGAAAGACACCAAAGACCTGTTATTACGTGCAGGAACGGAGATGCGGACAGGGTCTAGCATTGGAGTATTCTACACCCGATTAATTTACATAATTATCGTTTCAAAAAATAGCTAATAACTCCGAATTACGAATGGATAAAATGGTATTCGACCTTTCCGTCGCTTAGCGTTAAAACTCACTGGGACAGCCATTCAAAGATAAATTGTCTTTTCAGGTGCCTTCTTCGGGAATGAGGAGTGCTTTCAAAATACGGCAAAAGTGCAGGCATCCTCCTACGGTGTGATTTTCTTTGCATAAGGATACAAACATGTATCTATTTAAGTTCGTCAGAGTATGGTTGTATTTGACTGACTGCACAGATTTTGATAGGACTAGCTCTGTAACAGTCTCGGTCTATTCAGACATGGCTAATTATACCTGTTTAGTTTACCTCACCCTCCTTGTATGATTCAATCAAAATTTTCTAACTTCGAAACCTTTTGCAATTACACCTTTCAATAAGGCAACTTATCTAAGGGCTATAGGAGATTTGCTAATATCTAACATCTAATAGCGTCGACGCTACGAGTTTGGCACTCGTTTTTACGCCAGTCACATCTACAGACCCTTCTCCACCGGTCTATTCGGTAGGTTCGGAACAGGACTAGCTTGGCAAGTGACCAGAAATCATTATACATTTCATTAGCATTTTCCCCATCAGCAGCAGCTCCCACAGACCCAGCTGTTTTCACAACGAAAAGATTCCGGCGTCTCAGTCCGTCTACAATATTTCGCAGCAGTTTGTTTCTCAACAAACCGTTGGCCATTTTCATAAACTCCAATGCATTACCCGAGCACGCTTACCCGAATTCGCAATGTTTGCGTCAGGCTCTAGAGATCTGGGTTAGTGGGCTGGGCTCGATATTGTGCATCGCACTGCAGTAAACACGAGTAGTCCCGTTTTCGGCTAGTTTACTTTGAATCGTCCGCAACAGCTGAACGATGAAGGGATCGTTGCGCTAGTGATGCACGGTAGCAACAGCAGCATGCCAGTGGGCAAATGAGCGAGGGGGAACTGTGAGGCAAAAGTGAAAATAGGGTGAAAAAATTGCTCGTGGAAACAAACCAAATTCGGAAAATCTCACAGAGAGCGGAGGAAATGAGGGAGGCCGGACAGATATCAAATAAGGAAAAGATCTTCTACCTGACTAGAGTAAAAGTTCCGCCTGCTCAGACTAAGGATAGAGCTGTAAAATCTGAAAATGGCTGCAAACGAGAGTCCAAGCACACCAAGCCTTTCGTAGAAATATTCGAACGTTTATCAATTACCTCTGTGTCAACTACGTTTCCTCCGCCACAAGTTTTTTTTTGTAGAAAGTAAGGTAATCTAGATTGGTGGTACTACTAATTATTATTATTATTATTATTATCAAAACCAAGGCACCATTACTAAAAGCAAGTACACACGGGTACTTAGGCCAGACGAAAATTTAAGCGTTGCAGGAGCCAACAAGGATAAAAAGAAGCGATAAACTAGTACGTAGCGATTCTCTGGTGCCTATTACGACGTAGTGCCCAGTCGTAAGGCCATTCTGTAGGCGCCACTAGTTACAATATGTAAGTGACACAGTGTCTACTTACATTGTCCGCTGCTTAAAGGTGAATTTTTTTTAGGAAGTTGGAGGCACCAAGTCGCTAGTCAGCGACGATTCGGGTAAATGATAAAGTTAGGCCACTTAAGTGAAGCATACAGGACTTTCAGGCCCATCGAAGCCAAATAACAGAAAGGGATAGATGCCGGAAGCGGTAGTATCTTCATTATCGCTTAGATTATTTCTTTTAAGTTTAAGAGTGAGATGGAAATAAAAGAAAGGAACTTGACATCCGAGCGATTAATAACCACCTTCAGAGCATCGCTGGTGGCTGGAAAGTGCTCTAACGGCGCTGTCTTCTTCGTATCATTCTTGGTTCTTTGACTGTCTCGCAGATCACTCCCATCAGCTGCTTAGTAATCAGCAAATTTGATACTCTCGGCAAGCAGTCTGTGATATTGCATCAACATGAGCCAGAAAAAACCTTTGGAAAGGGCCTGAAAGTCGACCGACAGATTCAAAAAGTTACGAATAGGGGAAGATGGCTCTTTTTGAGAATCTTGTTCAGAGGGTTTGTAGTTTTAATTCTGCGAGCGAGTGAGTTGAGAGTGATCATCGAGCTCGCTTGATTTCGAATTCCTCAGTTGATATGGCCAACGTTTGTCTGTTCGGAGGAAAAAAGCTTTATTGCTACTTTATTTGTAAAGAAGTAAAAACAACGAAAATACTGCTCCTTTTTATTTTCGTTCATTTATAATAACAATAATAATATTAATAACAAGCGCTATGAGTGCTTTGCTATGAACAGTTTGTCTTGTGTTTGATATATATACATATATATATGTTAGGCCGCGGATTTTGTCAGACCCACTCCTTGAATGTCTAATCAAAGGAGATTGCTCGATTTAGAACAATTTTGTGTGTTTTCCTGTAGGTGCGATCATGAGAGCGGAAAGGTTCCAGCTTTTCCAGTACTAAAAAATGAGGTTATAGCTAGCAGCAACAGAACATGAAACGTACTTTTCGTTACTTGCCAACCTCCCCCCTTTTCTGATGGTTTTTTACTCAGTCTACATGTTTAATTAACGCATTGTCATGCTTTCCAACTACCATTGCAAGAGGAGGAAATAATCGCCAATTTTGTGAACACATATTGGATCCATAGAAGGCATCATAACACGTAAGGTTATCCAAAGTTATGAAAAGCTATAGATTTGAAATACTGCCTTGGAAAATTCAATACGTTTGTTATTTTTATCTACTTTTTTAACACTTTATACACGCAAAAATAGCATGCCGATCCTTTTCCCGATTCAGACTTTTTAAATTAAATATTCGATACTTCCTAGTTGATTATATGGCTTTACCAGATAGAGCCATAATCAATTAGTAGACAGATACTATTAACAGATTTTCGAGGTAACTTTGAAGGACGACAATTAGAGTGTTACTAGTTGCTCACCGTCAGGCAGTTGACTGATTTAAGATGTGCTCGGGAAATGGTAAGGACTAGTTTCGTTGGGCAGCTTTAATTAAATCTGCTAAAGGATCAAGCATTGGTCCTATTTTTTTCTGGTTCTCTAATAAAAATAATGTGACTGGTACAATTTCATTTTCTATGATGTTTCCGTATTGTCTTCTGTGTCCTAGACGGCTAATAATGTAACATACGTCTGTCGAGTATTATCGCCTGCGGTACATGTGGCAACTTAACCTATAGGGTATTCGGTGTTCAGTTTCTAATTAAACTCAATTTTCAATTGTACGCATCTATAGGAAGGGACTTCCATCGACCAAGACAATGGAATGCCACGCTGAACTCCGCTCAATCCGAAGAATATAAGCTATCGTTTTGTTCATTTCCGGAGCGTCAACGCTAGCGGCAACCAAAGATTGAAACTCAACCTACATTCAACTACGCATCACCTACAGGCAGGACTAACAAACTCTCTTGTTAATGCGATAGCTTTGCCTGCAAGAGGATTAAGGGGCCGAAGAAAGTAGTTGCTACAATACGATAGACATAACCTGGCAGATTTTTGCCGTCAAAAAATACTGTTCGGTATGCTTTACCAGCAAAGTCTAACAGACCGATCCCTTCGTTCTCAGACCAGTCCGTGCGGTCGGCCTCTGCATGAATAATGGTACTACCAGTTGATCATAGCCTATTAGGATAACACCGCACGGTTCAATTTAGTCAGGGTTCTAAGCAATGGATAACGCTCTACACATTAAGACCGTATCAACGTAAGAAGCTACTTCCAGATTGAAATGGGTCAATCAGGCTCTGTACCGAAATGAATTGTCACTTTAGATTGTCTCTGTTAGATTAGGGATGACAATCCGTATCCTTCCGCAGAAACGAAACAAGACCTTGCGCATTTATGTATATAAATAAGACATATTGTTTTTTATTTCGCCGCATATCGTACGCCGAGAATCAAACTCGAACTATATATTTCTGTGGTCAACCTGCGATCAAACGATATAGGTACGGCTTATCAACAACGAAAACTACTATTTATTTTCGGTGCGAGTAGACAGAAACACGAGGTATTGCAAGGAGCCACATGCTGTTTTTTCAATCACAGAGGAAAAGCATTCAAACAAGTAGTCCGACCATTACAAACAACTATTTACAACTCTGAAAACCCTTGCGTCAATGTAAACAAGTGGTAACATCGTAAGGAAAAACTTTGCAGCCCCGATAGAGAATTGGTTTCTGATGTCATTAAGCCTATGTCTGAACGCATGAATCTGAGCAGTAAATCACTGAAGTACTTTTCCCATGATTTGTTCAGTTTGTTGCTGCTACCATTTATAACGTTCTGAACTAATAGTTACAAAAAACTTCAGAGGTTCAAGGTAAAATCTTTTTTAAGCCTCACGAAACACAGAAAAATGTTTTTGTTCTATGAATGAGTTCTTAGCTGAAATTAAAGACCCATTTTTCCATCGATTTAGGGTGAAAACGAATGTGTTCCTAAGCGAGCATAGTGCCGCGTCTCATGAGAACCTCAAGCCTTGGTTGCTTGCCCCAGCGACCACCGGCTTCAGTTGCTTGGATAGTACTGCATTTGAAAAAATTGATAATACGCAGCATCGAAAACGATGCCCTTTGAACTCCTCGAACCATCATCATCTGTTGTTGTTATTGTTGTTGCAAAAGCAATTAGAATCAAGTTTTTCAGCATTAATAGAATAACGCTAAAACAAAAAATGGGTCAAATTTTAAGCTGATATTGTCTTCAAGGCGCTGACATCGGAACAGTAAAGACTTAAGCCAAGGACTTCTACTTTTACCTATTCATTTACTAATAATAAAAAAGAGCCTAATCGCGCGATTTCTATGTCAAGAGCCACAAGAAATAATGCCAAACATTAGCTATAATATAATCTAACGTAAATACCGATAAGCAATTCTACTTATGCAACTGAACCCATTTTTACTAGCGCCTGACCGCGGCAGGTGACCATGCGCATAAAAAAAAGCGACACCGCAATACTGAAAACTACCCGCGGAGATCATATTGCTACACAGATGTTATTTGTCAATCAGCAGCGTAGGGCGCGTTGATTCGTAAACGCGCCACGACAAGTCGTGCATGACTGCACGATAAACCGCATGTAACTAATAAATAAGCGCGACCTAACACATGGAATTGAACTATGTCGTCCTAAGTACTATCTATCTGCAAAACAAACCGGGTACATCAGGCTTTAGCGAATGTATGTAGTCGATCTCAACTTATAAACCATATTTATGAGCTACTTTATCTGTTAGAAAAGTAGCAGATAGATACACTCATAGGAGTGTAACACATGAGGTTTTGTTATTTAAGCTTCATAAACCACCTGTCTGGCTGCCGATATCATTATCAACAAACAAACGGTATGGACCGACTTCGCATGTATAACCAGCCGTAAATAAAGACGTTCGTAATCAATTCCAAAAACGTTAAAGATAGTCTGTGTTTGCTCGATACACAGGCCCGTCGGCACAATCCTTGCTAAGATCTTGCTCATTCCCATATGATATTGCAAAATAACTTGAGATGACTCGTGTGAAATGTCCAGCTCCAATCCCTGAGAGCGCCTCGACAAACGCCTAGCGAAAGTCATCTTGGTCGTTTCGGGTTTTCATCCGAACTCGTTATAATAATATAAGAATAAGAGTTGCCTTTGAACTTCCTCGCTCATCGCGAAATAATCGACGCCATCCATGGCGTGCTAACTTACTTTAACTTAAGCTTGGTCCTCAGTCTTTTGCGGCAGTGGCGACGCCTGCCTTCGTTCTTCATATAGTATACTATATACATTTTCTAGTGCCCTCATTTTTATTTTTTAGGGAAAAGAGACACGATAGAAGGTTAAACACTTGCCACACCTCCCAATACTTTGAAACATGAATTCCTGTAAATAGAAATAGATAGAGAGGCGAACGAGGCTACGCTATAAGTTCGACTATAAAAGGTGTGTCATTTCGTCAAAGCTTTTGGTGTGACACAAGCGGAAAATATAGTTTTGTTTATAGGAAAGATACTGAACCTGCGGAGTGTGACCTTACACTCAACTAGTGCAGTCCGTGAAGTATTGTAAAAAAAAAAAAAAAAAAAAGTAAAAAAAATCTCGAGTCTCGTAAATATTTTATCCGTAATATTTATTGAGTTTACCTCGCATTATATTTATATGAAGTTTATGAATCCACTGCATTCAAATATGGGCGCTCATAAGACGTATCCGCTGAGAGTTATAATTTCTGTATAAACATCAAATAACGAATGGAACCTCGAAATAAAAGGGGATTGTTATGAAAATAGAAGCGGTAAAGCTACGAATGGTCTATTTTGAAACCGTTAACCCAGTAATCCGTCACTGTCTGATCTTATCAGTTATTATTACTAAATCAATTGGAAGAAGTAAGTTAGCGATAGTTCAACGTCTTGTTTTTGTGTACAGTATACATTTAAATGCTGCAACAAGAATGCCCACTTGTTTACTGTCGAATTGCTGCCCGTAACAATCCCGGACCCATTTGTACTCAACACGCCTGGATGTTACGAATCTGCAGCCTTAATTTCTCAAGTCTTTTCACCAGCGTAGCTTTTTTTTAGCTTGCTTATCGCTTCCCGTTAAATACTTGTCTAATAAGTGAACTCTATTATAAATAACGATGTTCGTCTTTCTGGGTCCATTTGCTGCTGATAACTTATTATGTATTGAAAAAGATAATACTTCATATGAAAGTGCATCAACATGATAAAGATGGTAGTTGTATAAATATAAATGAATGCACGCGTTGCTGTACAATGTTGTGTATCTGATATTTGATTTTAATATGTTGAATTTAAGTAGGAATGTTAAGCAAAATCACAAAGACTGCCAAATAGTGTCTTAGACCTATTCAAGCTCTATTCGGCTCTGGTTTCCAAAGCCTTATTGGAATACCGTTCGTTTATAATGAAGGTAAGCTCCGTAATAATGCTTTGTGCTCGCTAGGATACTGTATGTTTTCGATGCAGTTTTGGATGTATACGTTTAAAAATGACTACGAAGCCAATAGCGCACAGTACAGAAACAAAACGTGAAGTCGTGAAAACCTAAATGTTCGGCTTTGCTTCAGGATGCTCCTCAGTGTGGTCAAAATAGGTTTGAAAAGGACCCCGGGCAGCAATGGTAGCGTTTACTTTGAAGAGTGAGCGCTACCAATGACTCCAGTAACGTTTAGTGTTACGACTAGTTGGCTGACTTCGTTCGTGTGTAACCACCGTAAGCGGGAAGAAACATCAAGCTGTTTCCTCAATTGTAAGCGTTTCTGCTAAGAGTTGTTTGGTTTCCTATGTAGGTGAACACTAAACATGAATAGTTTTTCCGATTTTCCATATACTGCATAAGCTCATCAGGCTAGCAGCCGCGTAACGTTAGCCGATAAAAAAACAGGACTTCAAAAGCCCCATCTCCGATGCGGCTCATCAGTGAATCCCCATTGTATCAATGAATCCCCCACACAGTAATTCTCCACTGCCATCAACCCGCGCAATCTTTTCGATTGCCTGGTATATATTTCTTCCCTCATTTTCTCCATTCGATCTCATCATATACTTCAGAGTGAGACCGTCAGCGTCCGCGGCCGACGACGGCCAAGCTGTGGTTAGAATTAAACCGGAAGGTAGTTAAATCGGCGATGTCGATCAGAAGAAGGGAAATGTTGCGACCACAAGTGAGGAAAACTGAAAGAAGGGAAATATAGACAGAGCAATAGGTAGGATGCTAGGGGGACTGTGTAAGCAGACGAAATGCCAAAATCAATCAAAAGCTGAAGAACTGAGCGATTTTAGAAGACGGAATTTTAAACAAATAACAACAACAACAACAACAAAAACAAAAGAAACGACTGGCATGAACAAGATTGAAAAAAGAGGTGGAAAGGAAGGAACGAGGAGTACATTACGTGTGATTTAGTAGCGTACAAATGAAATTACGCGAAAAAAGTAAAACGAGAAAAAAAGACACAGAAAACAAACAAATCTGAAAAGCAGGACAGTCAAGTAAGCCGGCCAAAATGCGCCTACGGTTTAGGCAACAGAAAAACTTAGTACGAAGAAATATTGTAGAAGTGCATTATCGCACAAACAAAAATGACACTGTAAGAATAGCAAAGGTAACGTCCAGCGGTAAGGCCAGCGGTATCGCAGCGGCCGGTCATAGCACCAGAATGAGGATGATAGACGACCCCGAGTAGAAGGCTAGCGAGATCATAGCACGATGCCCGTACTCACAGGAATGGAAGACAGCGAGAGAGCCAGCATCGCGTAGCTTGACGCTGGTAAAGTTGGACAATATCTCTCGCCCTTCCTAACCACTCTGCCTCCCTCCCATCTCTCTTTCTCCTACTGTCCTTTTGCAGATCTGACAATTGCCCTCTTCCATTGCAAGGTCTAATCTGCTTCTCCTATAGCGGTTTTGGTCACAGCTGGATGACCCGCTGGTCATCTATTCAGTCGACAACAGAATGTTATCAATCTCACTCTTGTTACTTGTAGCCGCAAAAAGGTTATGCAGGATTCAACATGCGAATTGCCTGACATAATGATATGAAAACCTCGAACTGGTATGATACACACAATGATGACGTATACGAATTTTAGTGCAGAAGCGCTAATTACAGGATTGAATGATCATGCTTCAGGTGAACAGCGTCTAATCACGGAGCGACTTCGTCAAAAAGAAAAGAACTCATTTACAACCGGCTTCTCTGGTGACCTTCACTCGACGTAGTTGCACTGTATTTTTTAATACAAAATGCGACCAGTGCAGCGGGCGTCTGAGAAAGTCTCCTTCTTATACATATTATATAAAATAGGACTGCATAAGCCGATGATACGAGAGAACTGATGTAGTTGATGCGACAGCTGTCCCCCGCGGCTTCTACGCTTGAGCGCTCGCCCCCCAGGAGCTAATGGTATGGCTAGCCCATTTGGAATACATAATTCTGAACACAAGGACCCTAGCGTATTCCAAGGCTCACTTTCAAGGATTGTTGCCTTTATTGCTCGAGGACATCAAGGTCCACACTACGCTGTGATCTTGCAACGGAGAAAGTTCGACTCGTGCTTGGCATAGGTATAATGTATAAATCCTACATAGACGTAAAATGTTTGTGGCAACAGAACGCCAAAAATACAAAATTCAAATAAATTGGGTGGTACTTACATAAGAAAATGTATACTGCACATACGTATTTATACTGTCACGTGAACAGTTCAGTGCTGACTTTTGTGATATGGCGTATCTAGGCACCTCTGGTACGAGCATCTGCATTCTCAAGTTTTAATTTTATCCAAAGTATTCTACACCTGTGTTGAGAAAAAATCAGCCATCCATTCTTACATCTAGGGAAAAAATGTCTCGTCGGAGAAAAATCGATTGGCTACTTTTGGCACCGATCAAAGGTCTCGACTCTATTAATCCAAGAGAGCATCTGGCTGGCCGATCCTAAGGATACATAATCTTACAACACCTCGCATCAATTTGTTCACTAACATTTTGACTTAAACAGAAGGCTCATTAGAAATGCACCTTTGGGTGGCGGAGATCCACTTTGGAGTCTGCATCGTTTTTCTTCCATTGTGAATTTCCACTTGTGCTGCGCTGGAGATCACTTCTGCTCGTTTTGTAGCCGCGTAGCCATTATACAACGCGCTAAACTACGCATGGAGGTAACGCATGACAATTCAAATTTCAGTAGATGTTTGATATTAGCCAATTCCTGCTTAAATTTAAAAACAATGCACTGTTGTTCGCTCCTTTGATTAATTGAATAGTAAAAGTACCCTAAGCAAGGTTAGATTGCCGGAACAAGCTAATGCTATAATCGTAGGCAGATAAGTTGTTATACTATATCGAGCTTATCTGTCCTCTGAGAGAATCGACTGAGTTTTCCTTTCCGCGCTTGTCCCACCGTTCTCCCAACAAGTCTTACATTAGATGGCCTATCCTAGTGCTGGTTTTTACACCAAGCAACTTCACGTACGCTTTATCTACCTACAAGCTTGCTATTTCCTCATGTAGCATGCCATGGTTATAAAAAGAAAGCGACTAAAAAAAAGCGAATGCGTATGGAAGAGAGAATGCCGACAGAGGCAAGAGCAACAGTAGTGGAAGCTAGACTATCGCTGACCTACCCCTC